GAAGCTTAACCAGTTCCTAGGTCACCTGAACGCGCAACATCCTAGCATACAATTGACCATGGAAAAAGAGAAAAATCAAGAAATCGGCTTCTTAGAGGTACTCATAAAAAAATCTGGAGGAAAACTAAGCCACACAGTGTACCAAAAACTCATACACACAGACAGGTACCTGCATGCGCTCTCAAACTACTATGCAAGGCAAAAACGTGAAATTATACCAACGTTAACAGAAAGTGCTCGGAACATCTGCGAGCCACAACATCTCGAGCAAGAACTGGATCACCTCAACTTGACTTTTCTATCAAATGGATGCAATGCATCTTTTTTTTTTCTGTAGGGATTAGGAAATGCTTTTACGCACTGCCTGAGGCATTGATGTTCTGGCGCCCCAGGGTGTGTGGGACTACAATTGTCGACTAGCCACTAAAACTCTTCCCCTACCTTCTGCCGTTGTGATCGCCTCCTCTCGGGACCGCCTTTACGGCATTGCATCGAGAGTGGTGGGCAGGAATACTTTGCTGTCGTTCTCCGGCTATTAATTAATCCTCCTTTCTCGCTCTTCCATCTCTTTGTTCATCATAATGTCCTTGATTGTGTTTTGGATTTTCCTCCAATTGCCCTGGTTTGTCATCATAAGCTCTATCATGTTTTCTGTGGATAAAGTTACTCCGAGGTCCAGGTTCAGGATTGTCCTCCGCCGTCCCCACCTTATGCATTTGAAGATGGTATGTTCTGCATTATCTACCTGGTTGCAGTAGATGCAGTTTTCCATGGTTTTGCCTATTCTGCAGGTGTAGGTCGCAAATGAACCATGCCCAGTTAGGGCCTGTTTCAGAAAGTAATCGGTTTCTCGATGGTTGCACCGGAGCCACGGTCGTAGGTCCGGAATCAGTTGTTTCGTCCCCTGTGCCGTTTCGGTGTTTGCCTGCTATCTCAATTGCCACCGCTCTATGATTTCCTCTCTGACTTCGGCTTTTGTTCCTAGGGGGTTTTCAAAGTTTGCCAAAAGGCCTCTCTCCTCAACTAGTAAGTCGATCGGCGGAATACCCGTGACGACCTGTATCGCCGCCGTCGAAACTGTGCGATATTCGCACGCCACCCTGAGAAGTGCTTTTCGTTGGCATCCCTCCAACAGTGTTCTATATTTTTTGAAGGCCAGCATTTCCTGCCAGATTGGTGCACCGTACAGGAGGATCGACTGCACTACGCCGTATAGCATCTGTCGCTTTTTCATTTTTGGCCCTCCTATATTGGGCATAAGGCGCATGAGTGCTCCTGCTCTCTCAGCGGCCTTCTTAACGGTTCCAATGATGTGATCCCTGAAGCTGCAGTCTTCCCCGATCAGTACTCCTAGATACTTTATCGATTTGGATGGGGTAATAGTTGTTGTTCCTAGAGTGTACCGAATATCCAGTCTATTGGTTTTTCCGCCTAGAGTAACAGACTCTGTCTTTTCCCGGGCCAAGCTAAGATGGTTTTATTCCATCCACCTGTTAACCATGCGAAGCGTGTCATTCATCTTTGTCATCAGTTCTGGTTTAGTGGCTGCACTGACCACTACGGCCAGGTCGTCGGCGTAACCGATAGCTTCCAACCCTGAGGGGAAGTTCAGCTGCAGGATCGGGTCGTACAGGATGTTCCAGAGTAGAGGTCTCAGCACTGAGCCCTAGGAGATCCCGGCGGTGATGTTAAGGGCGTCTCTATAGTCGGTTGTCAGTTTGCGGTTCGTGAAATAGTCCACAAACGTGTTTATCAGATATGATGGAATTCCTCGATCTTTAAGTCCGCTCAGTATATTGACCCAGAAAGCCGAGTTAAAGGCATTTCTGATATCCACCGTTGTCAGGGCGTACCATCTCTCGCCCTGCCCTCGCCTTCTGGTTTGTACAGCCAGTTCTAGAACTCTTTTAATCGCCATTATTGTGGATCTGCCCCTTCTGAATCCGTACTGGTCTTCTGATAGGCTTCCCCTCGCCTGTAGTTCTTTCTCCAGCCGCTGTTTGAGGAGGTGCTCGTATAGCTTTGCTAGAGTGTTGATGAGGCATAGCGGTCTGAAGGATCCTGAGGAGCCTAGAGGCTTGCCAGACTTGCTTATGAGAACCAGTCTTGCCATCTTCCACTCATCTGGAAATTTTTGTCCCATGATGTGGCTGTTCAAGATTATCAGGGTAAAATCGAGTTCTTTCTCTGCCAGCGTTTTGGCCGCCTCTGGTGGGATCCCGTCAGGGCCTGGAGCGCGCCCTAGTTTTATTTTTCCTGCCGCTTGGATAAGCTCCTCGCGGGAAAAAGGCTTAGCTGTTCCTGCTGGTTCCCGGGCGAAGGACCGGGCTTGGTGTGTCGGGAATAGAGCCGTTATGGCTTCTTTTTTCCTATCTTCCATTAGTTGGAAGGGGTGGCCCTGGGTTGCAAACCTCCTCATGACCAACTCGTAGCCCTCCCCCCATATGTTGTTATCTAGGTCTTCGCATAGCTCTGTCTATGCCTTTTTCTTCTCGTCGTCGATGAGTCTCTTGAGGGTCCGCTTTTTGTCTTTGTACGTCTGTTGTAATCTCTCCAATACTTGGAGTTCGTCGGCCCTACCTGCTCTCCTGGTACACGTTCTTTTCGCCACGACGCATTCTTGGCGGGCAGCTGCCACCTCGTCGTTCCACCAGTACGGGACGCTGTGTCGCCGGCTTCCCCTACTTGCCCTTCTAGAAAGTCTTAGGGATCTTTGAAGGGTAAATGTTATTTCGTGGGCCCCTATGCCTGTCTGGGTTGGCCTCGATTTGGGCTCGCAGTGAGTTTTCAAAGATCTGGCGGTCTATGTTCACTTTCCCCCTGAATTTCACCGGTGGTACCTTGGTCTTGGTGGAGATTTTGTAGGTTATGTGTCTGTGAGGTGACCCTGATTCATTATCCAATACGCTCCAGTCTCTGACGTATGCTGCCAGTTTTTCTGAGGCCAATGTTATGTCTATGAACGATCTCTGGTTCTTCCTGACAAAAGTCGGTTGGCCTCCTTCATTTTTGACGACGATGTTATGCTGGGTTGCCATCTCCAGGATTATCTGCCCTCTACGGTCATTTACTGGTGAGCCCCATTCAGCGGATTTGGCAAGTCCCCTGCGATAAGCGTAGGAACTGTCCCGTCCCCTATCAGATTTGACAGAGCATCGATGTAGGCCTCGAATTATTGTACAGCAATATTCGGGGAAATGTAGCCAGTTGTTGTTTCTAAAATATATGGCTACGTCTCCTCTCTCGTCGGCGATCCAGCCTCGTTTATTGATCAGCTTTCGGTTTGGCTCGCTAGCTATGATGAGATCGACGTTTCTCTCTGTCGCCGCTACGGAAGCCATATCGTGAGCTAGATAAGACCGATTAGCGTTTATTTGCAGAAATAACATTTGGGATTCTAGATATGTCCGTAGCGTTCTTCCTGCTTTCGGATACAATGCATCTGAAATCGAAAGGGCCATGCGACCCAAAGTGATGGCTGATGCATATCTGCCTTTCATTTCTCGGTTGAGAGACAGAATGGGAAAGTCTTGAAGAAACACAACATAAGAACGATCTTCAAGCCAACAAGGAAAATACAGCAATCGATCAGATCAGCCAAGGATAAAAGTCAAGCGTTGGAGTCTATCGTATATCATGCACATGTGGTAAGATATACATAGGAAAAACAAAAAGATCCATGGGAACCAGGAACAACGAGCACAAAAGAGACTGCAGACTAGGAAAATCTAAAAAATCGGCAGTAGCGGAACATGCGCTTAGTGACGGAGATCACGAAATACTATTTGGTGAGTTCAAGCTTCTTGCAGCGACTTCCGGATACCACAATCGTCTTGTACGTGAAGCTCTAGAAATCCACAAACATACGGAGAACTTCAACAGGAAAGAAGAAACACTAAAACTTAACCAAATTTGGAAATCGATCCTCAAAAACGCAAGAAAGTTCCCAATGAGTAGAGAGAAAGTTCAGATTAGTCACGTGCTGCGAAGCTCCGCCCCTCCCTCACCACAGCCACTCAGACAAAAATACAACTTGCGGTCAGGAACGCGTCAGTCTGCTACCAGAATCGGACATGGAACACCTCTGAAGATGCTAGCCATGCGTGCTAGCGAACTAACTTACGACGGCCATTAAGCCCGAATGAAAACACTTTATCAATGGAACTAAGGTTGTTTTGTTGGTATTTATGGAAAGTCCTTCCTCGCTGCAGTTTTTGATTATATTCAAGGCACTTTGCATTCGGCCTGTTATTATGCCTTAATGCTTGGCTCTTGTGGGCAGCCTTTAACCGTGGTGACAGTTACTGTTTCGCCGATACTGAGCGATGTTTAAGCATGGCTTCTGTCTATCTTATAATTGGAGCTTTTACCCCCCTATCCTCAACAGCTTTTTTGATAGATCGGAGATCAGTGTGAGGTGTTATCAAAGGATATAAAGCTGCAAGAGCGATTTCTTTTGCCTCAAGTCCCTTTTCTATGTCTGTTACTAGACTTGTTGTGGATTTGCTTGCTTGGTAGGCAAATTGTATGAAGCGGTCGGTTACTTAGAATTTCGCTTCTGACATATTGATTTATTGCTTACTCTATGGATTTAAACCTAATGGGTCGTTAGGATTTTGGTTCATCCTCTGGCCCACGACGTCCTGCCTGAACGTAACCTAGAGTGAGGCTAGATTTTAATATTATTTGAAGGTTTAGGATATTGTAATCCGCTTCTTGTCCTTGGGTATATCTTTGTTTCTAATACTTAAAACTTTTTCTAGTGGGTTGATTAATTGATATTCGGTCGTACATTAATTCATTATCAAGACAATGTATTTCTTTTTCATTCATTTTTGATATGTAAGTACCTACCTACAGCCCCAAACATGTCTGAGAGAGAAATTTTATAATTTAGCTCTTACTTCAAACTTATTCTCACCCAAAATGCTAATGAAATGTCTTTTAATCCATAAGTATCATTGCATAAACATGTGATTACATAAATGCCATTTCTTCAGATGGCATAACATATCAAGAAAAAAAGGAATCAAGAAAAAACAAGACTTTTACCTTAAACAGTGGCAATTAAGAACCGAAATGAGCTATAAAATTAAGGAGTTTACATCTACATTATATACAGTAAGTAAATGATGCTAACAACTACTACGACCAAGATACACTTTATGGCTCATGCAAGAAACCAAAACTAAGGATTTTTTTGGGGTTTTTCCTTTCCCCAATCAAATACGGGCCATAAAGTGTATATACAAAAACTAATAATGAATAGTTCTTAATCTAACTTTCCAGAATAATCATTCGACATCAGGTGCTCGACAGTTTCACCTACAAACTGCTCAGAAGGCAATGAAAGAAGCTAGATGGAAATTGAAAGAAAACAATACCATCAATCCAAATGGCAAACGATATAAAGAAAGGTTACATAACGAACATCGCGATCAAAAAACCTTGAATTTTGCTAGATTTGCTTTACTCAACTGTTGCTAAAACTGTGGATTGAGGCAATACTAATCGCACCAAACTGAAAAAATATACATTTTTGTTTTGTTAATTTGAGGAAAAATAACTTTAATTGTAATTTAACTATGATAGTATTTTCACACGTGAGTGTAAATCGGCCAAAGTGCGGAAAAACTCATTGTTTACCGCAGAAAGGGCTTGTAATATATCAATCAATGTAATTTATGTAAAATTGTAATATCATACTTTAGTTTAAGAGATACAAAAACTGTGATATACATGTATCTGTGATTACGGCAAATAGGATAGCTTGACAAAAAAAAAACGATCTATTCAGATAGATTATTAGTTATAATGAACAAATTGGCCAAATTTTAATATTTTAAATCTATAAATAATAAAAATTATATATTTTTAAAGATATCCTATCTGCTAAGAGACATAAAATTAATCATCAGTATTATTCCTAGCAACAATTTTTATAAAAAGTCGTTTTGTATTGAAAGTAGATGGAATAACAGAACTCACTATTTAAAAACAAATCCCAATTTCAAAAGCTATCTTCTACATCTCTTGTATAGAAAATATTTTATATGTATATAATAAAATTTCTTGACAAATGCCCGAAGCATACAAAAACATGCAGTGTTTTTAAATAATAATACATAATTATAATCAATATATTATTAGAATTGAAACTCAACTCAGATTGTGGCGAAACAGTTTGCCAATCCTTTCAATATTATCCGTTGAAGCTGACTAAATCAGTTATATAAAGGTCGGGGCCACTTATGAACTAAATATTGTACTACAAGGCGAGTGTAATTTTTCACATGGCGAAACAGGGGTTTAAATCATCGACTAAGTATTTAATAATAAATTATGCGGATGCAGCTTCTATAACAACTTTAATATAGCTTAAGATAACCATTTTAATCATTTTACTGTAAATAAAAAAGTTATTTATTTAAAAGATTTCGTTTTTTATTTTACTGAATTCAGATTCTGTTGAAGAAGAAGCTAATATATGTATTTGCAGGTAAGAACTTAATATAAAAGTATTACAACCAGTGTTATATTTCAGACATCGTACCCAAGTGGGTTATGAAACAATTTATCAAATAAAATATATATATTTTTTTCCAGGTCATCCTTTTTCATATGCCTCCAAATTTAAGCTATAAATTATTGAGCTCTTTGGCTCTTCACACATTTGCTATTATATTCTCAATGCAATTTGTTTATTTTTCTGAAAATATAAGTTTCTTTTTAAATGCTTTAAGCTTATTAACGTGTGTTTTAATTTATTTCCAATACTTTAAACAATTTGCTAATTCTTATGGAACTCAAGACTCTTCATCAAATGTTTTGTTCCATTCAAAAATTGATGACAAAAATAAGGGGTACGTCAATCGAAATTATTTATTTGTTACAAAGAAAGCATTTTTGTCCTTTGATAAATTTTGAAACAAACTAATGATACCCTCTTGTTCTTTCATAGTAACAACTCCAAGGATAGGGTCTCCTTTGTATTGTGATATCTCATCCAATTTCTCTACCTTTTTCTATCCCCTGATTTCAACAACAGCTTGAAACCAACAAGCCAAATGATGTGCCTGGAAGCCTCGAAAATACTTTAATATTCTCTTGACTTTTTCATTCAACTACTCGGCTGTTTAGCTTTTCCTTTTTTATTTGTGAGAATGATTTAATTATCTATCTTTTACTATTTTGCAGTACCTACATTTGCTTTGTTAAAAATCGTATTGTTTCGAAAAATGTTGGTTGCTCCTTGAGAGTAAATAAAGTAATTCCATTATTGGAGTTAGAGAGCGTTTCTTTTGTTGTCTCAAACCTTATTATGTTCAATATTTCACTGTTATTTTTATTGTTGGATCAGAAACTCTACAAAGAAAACACATGATGGAGAAATTCCCTCTGTTTATTTGTTTAGAAACTGGAATAATAATAATGTCTAGAATTCATGGTGCCTCCTAGAGATCCTATACTCAATAATATAAATTAATCATCAGGTCAAGTAGGTATAACATTGACAATAATTTAGTGGCATTTTATATGACAAATTATTGCATATACCGATTTTAGATGTCGCCAATTAATTTCAGTATGTCGCTGTCCAATCCAGAAATTAAATTAAAATTCAGAACATTTTCAATTTGACACGATAAATAGATTTTGTTTGAATTTTGCTATTGGCACTATTTCAAATCCGAAAATTTGAATGTTTAGTTGGTGACAAGTTGCTCTATTTTGTAAATCTGAAATGAAACTTTTTAAATAGCTTATATAATAATAAAATTGAAATGTATATAGCCTTATTGTTTCATAATTTGGACAAATATAAATTATTATTCTTGCATTAACTGATATATGTTTTGACACATCCAAATCCTTACTAGAAGTAATCATAAGACGGAATAAACACAAATACAGTATCAGAAAATATTACGACCGCTAAAAGTAAAAACCATCTGAAAATACTCTCATAAAACAAATCGAATTTTGCCCCAATTCCTCTGGCGGAACTCGAACATGAGATAAAGAACATTACGAGCGTCTCATGAACGCCAAATACCACGCCCGGTCAGTCGGAATGCAGTCATTTTGCTAAAGTTATAGTTTATGAGATATCGTAAAATACACAAAAATTGGATAGATTTTTTGATTAAATTTATCATCACTTTAGCAAACTGTATTCGTTTCGAAACTGATTCCCAATAAGAACACCCTGGCAAATGAGCAGCACATCTAGAACATTGATAGCATAATAGTAATAATAGTCTTTATTAATAAGCACTTGGCTAGCAAACATACAAATATTTCATGTCTAGGTACATATCAAATCACATCATTATCACTTAACAAATATTAAATTACAATTTTTTGCTTAATATATTCTCTACATAGCTTTTTAAATTCTATTAGGGTATTGCAATACATAACTTCATTTGGCAGTTCATTGTATAATTTCAGGTCTTTAAAGAATAAGTTGTTTGGACTTAAAGTTGGTACTTTCCTTTTGTAAAAGTTGTCCCTTGATCTAGTATTGTACTCATGAATTTCCCTAATACATTTACAATTTTTTAAAAGATGTCGAGGAAGTAGATCCACCTTTAGTGGTCTCGTTAATTTTTTCGATTGGAATAACTGAACTAGTTTTCCAGGAAATGTTCCTTTTCTCAAACTGGTGTTTATAAGGTTCAGAATTTTATTACCTATAACTTCAAATGCATATTTTAAAATTTGTACTCTGATACCATCTATATTGCTCTCCTTATTTTTCATATTGTTAATTGTTTTCTTCAATTCTGACATCTCGATCATGGAGAATACTTCATATTTTTTGTCATTTTCAATGTGCGATATACTTTCGTCATGCGTTTTGGTCGGATTTATAATTTTCACAATTTCATTTATACTGTTTAGAAAATGTTCGTTGAACCTTTCACATATATCCTTTTCAATGACTTCTCCGTAAAAGATTATTCCATTTTTTATATTTGCCTGATTTTTTCCATTTACTATTCTTTTTCACATTTATTCGAATTTTGTTTATTTTCATCTATAAGATTGGTAGTCAAATTGTCTGCTAATATATCACAGTCTGAACAGTTAGATGGCCATTGTCTGTCCATAAATCTCAGCTGGTATTCCAATATACCCATGTTCTCATAATTTCTGAGTTTCTTTATCTCACTATTTTCTGTATTATCTTGCTTCATGTTCGAGTGATCTGTCATTTTTGGGGTTGAGTGTACTTCATTTTCTGGTTAGTTAAGTTTAGTCTATTTTTGTTGCACAGTCTTTGGTAATGCGTGTACAATTTTCAACTACCTTATAGAATCGATACTTCCTTATAAGATTGTTTAGCTTCCCCTCATAAAAACTAGAACTGTCCATCCATATCTATGTTAAAGTCTCCAACCAGAACTATAATTCCATCAAGCTGTGTTGTTTCAAATAACTCATCTAGTTTATCCAAAAATTCTGCATGAATTGCACTCGGTGAATGGTATAGACTATATATAAAGCATTTTTCATTTTCTACCATTATTTCAATTCCAGTTAACCACATGTTCATATTGTCATCCATATTTTTTATCATCTCATATTTGAGTCCTTTTCTTACATATATCAATGGTCCTCCAGTGTGTGCACTTTTCGAATAACTGCAAATTGAATTGTTGCCTTCAACGTTGATTACGTTTTTTGTATAGTCTTTAGTAATATGGGTTTCTGAGAGACATATAATTTCTGGTCTTTTCTGATTTATAATCCAATTTGATTGTACTTTGTGCGATGTTAGTCCCTGAATGTTCAGATACATTATAGTTGATCTGGATTGCTATGTTTTATTATTCTTTGAATATATTTCAGAGTAGTTAATTTTTTCTTGCAATTGTTCAGCAACTTTTTTGTATGTCTCACAATTATTTCTGTCGTATGCCTTGTGTCTGCACAGTCTACATTTGGGATTTTCAATACATCCGCTGCATGTTTACAGTTTACACAGCATTCTTCATTTTTGTTTGGCACTCAAGAAGGTGATTCCTTTCTACAATCCTTCGCGATGTGTCCATATTCCCAGCAATTATAGCACTATTTAATATTCAAACTATCTTTATAGTAATATGACCTCTAACCAATATGTATTTTTTCTTTTTTTCTAATACACTCATATGAATTCGGATCGAACTCTATAATGATGTTTGTCATACCCTTTTGGTTCTTCGATGCATGTATCACTTCTATATTTCTTATATTTTCTTCTGTATTTATAGTATTCTGTACAATTATTTCAATAATCATATCCTCTTTTTCTGATATCTCAGCTTCATTCACACCAAACACTATTATTCTTGGGTTTTTTCTCTTTGGTATTTTCACTTCATAATTTTTTCACAGTGATTCCTTCATAGTGTCAAAGACTTCCCTTACATTTTCTTTTTCTCCCCTATTATATTTAATGGCAACTCCCCCATCTCGAATATATTTCATTTTAGATACGCCCATTCCTAGATTGCACGGATTTATTTTTTCTGTAATATTTCTTTTTGTATTTTCACTAGTTTGATTGGCATCATTAGGTTTTACTAGTAAAACTTCATCTTTTTGGTTTTTTAATGCTGCACTGTATCCAAATTGTTTTCGCCCTGAATCAATTAACTGGGGTATTTTCCTAGTAGTTCAATTTCTTCTTCAAGTAGATTTATTATGGTTATTTTATCTTCTATCAAGGCTTCTATGCTTTCCACCAGCTTTTGAAATAGTCCAATGGACTCTCCACTAATGCATTTGCTATAGTAAAATTTCAACATACGCTGCCCAGAAAGTTGCAGAACTCTAACTTCCGTTGCACTTATACGACTTCATTTGGTACATATCGATTCATCACACCCATCACAGTTAAATAAGTCTGTATTTTTCACTTTGATTTGTTTGCAAGTGTGACAATTCATTCTGTATGAAGTTACTTCAGTACCCTAAGATATCTCCAAAACCAATCAGAGCATGTACATACAATGATTATTATTATTAAAATTCAACATCAGCATAAACAGAGGATATATCAGTTCAACAAAACGGCAACAGTGCCCGTGAATTTGACCTTTACCTTCAACTGGAGTGTTTGTTTACATCAATGACCTATTAACACAGATAGACAGAACGTCCCATTGATAAAATAGCTTTGTTTTGGTTGACTACATGTTTATGGGCCAGGGGGGGTGAGCTGTGAGAGCGGCTAGGAGTAGGGATTCAAATGATTCCGCTAACTCCGCCCCCATTTTGCTATCGCATACTTGGCAACTCTGAAAATGAAACCAGAATCAGTGCTACAAAAGTGTATCTTTATCCTTATATTTCACATAATTTTAGAAACAGATGCGGATACACTCACTGCGCACTGATTGACAAATGGAAATTGTCATAAAATACCTGCGGGTCGCATTTTGACATGACAATTGAATAGAAGCCGCTGATTGGTGGAAAGCTGGAATTCGAGGTGGGATTTATTTTCATTGAAAAATAATCGCTTTCCACGTGTTAGAGAAAGATACAAAATAGCACAAGGATTAATAAGTAGTGGGGAGAGATGCGGTTCCTGGCATGTAGTCAACCGATATTATTGTTTATTCTTCTGTCTATCTGTGTTAATAGGTCATTGGTTTACATACACGAACAATTATTTACAGGGGTTCTTAGGAGTCATCTTCATTACCAATTACAACTTTCGCCTTATTACACTATATGAACTTAGAACCGTTTGTTTAACTATATTTTAAATCGAAAAACAATAATTTATTTTCAATTTTAATACACAATAACGAAAAACGCATGGAAAAAAAACACTAGGCAACTACGGGCACAAAAAGGTTATCGACCTGATGGACGATAACGTAGTGGAAATGGAAACGGATCAAATCGTTCATTCAAAGTCATATACGACCCAAACATTGGCAGGATAGAACGCTTTACATAATAAGAAGAGGCTTGGTCTGGTATACAGGCTGCTTCAAAAGATTGGATGCAGCTGGCTTTGGCGTTGCCACGATTTTTCTGTGTTGAACAATTTAAAGTGAAAATAAATAAATAATCAAGACTGCAGGACTGAAGGTCAAAGTATTAAATAATGGGCTCTTTCACTAAAATTTAAATACATACTTAATTTAAGTATAAAATCCCAAAGGAGGGACTATTTCAGGCATATACACCAAAAAAAAATTTTCTACGAGGTTGAATAAGTTTTTTACAGGCATTTGAAATCGGCGAATTTTAAATTCATTTAAAATGCGCCGATTCGCTGAAGTCACATAAATATTTTCCATTTCCCTTATGTTTTTGCAAGAAGCTGACCGGCTCGGCTGTGTAGACTTTGGTAAAAGCACAGCAAGGTTCGAATGCGCTGTTGTCGGTTGTGACTGAATGTAGTGCAACGTAAAAAAAAAAAAAAATTGTATTAAATTAGGTTTAAGCATAATTTCAAAAAAAATGTTAGAAAATCTTGAATCCATAATTAATTAATTGAATTTCCTGATATTTTTCCAACATTTCAGAATTAAATCTATTACAAATTTTCAATGTTGACAATTAGTGGCAACACGGTAAAATTGCGAGCTGCGACGTCATAGAAATAAACTCTGGGTTTTTATTTGGAGGTATTTCTTATTTTTCTGTTTTCTCAAGAAGGACTATGAATTTTTCAAAAGTAAAAATACAGAAAATTCTGTTTTTAGTTGCTTTATCCAAATATGCCAATTTCAAAAATTAGTGAAAGAGCCCATTCCGAGAGTACTTATGTTATGTTATGTTTTGGGCGCCACCGACTCAGGATAGATGACTCGGACTTTCCAGGATTTTATCTGGCTCCAGGTCCTTACAACTTGATCGAGTTATTAAAATAAGAAAATAAAAATAATAGTAAGTACTTATTGGACTGAGTGCATAAAACCAAATAAAACTCAATTAATTCAAGTGCTATAGTGTTCCTTTAATAGAAAGAAAATTTAAGAAAATATGTTCTTTAAGCAATTATTGTGGTTCACAATTAATAATCCAAATTAAATTTAAATTTGGAAGTTTAAAATACAAAATGTTATAGTAACTCAAATGAGTAAACCGAAAGTTGAAGACAGAATATAGAAATAAAAAAATAAAATGATTATTGGAACAGTTACCGTTACTGTTAACGCCCGACGCTATGGTGGTTAATACTCTTAATAGTGGTTAGCCATATGCAGGTGAAAAAAAAAAAAGAACATTGATGAAGACCAGTGACAATTATTTTGAGTGTGACAATCAATCAATTAATTAATCAAAAAGTTACAGAATTTGATCAGTTTGTCTAGTAAAATCTTATTATTAATCTTTATTGTAACTTTCAGCAACCATTATAATCATTGTTTCCATTTTATTGCACTTTTCTCTAAATCATGCCCAGTTTTTAAATAAAATTTACAGTCCTCCTAGTACAGTTAAAAACATTTGGTCCAGTCGACCCGAGATCCAGTTTTACCAGAAAAAACGATAAGTGGAGAGAAAACGTGTGTAGTACTGTTATGCAATAATTGTTGTGGAACAAGGAAGAAATAACTTCAAGAACCGGGTGAGTCGTTCCATGTTAGAACAATATTTCGAAGATTCACCTTGTACCCAAACGTCATAAATTGTCATAATCTTGTCTAGAATTTAAAACGAGTATTTGTCTTCTATTTGTGTCAATTCATTGGCGGGCTTTTCATACAAGTTTTTTCACGATAATAGTCCACTCCAATCAATATAGAAATGACAGATATCGATACTCTCACGAGAAAACGAGGTTCAGTAAAGGCTGTACTCACTAACTTTATAAAATTTGTTGAAACTCTCACAGTCAAACCAGAATTAGGAAAGTCAGAATTTCTTCAATTACAAGATAGGATAGCGAGGGTAGAAAGAGCACTTTCTGATTTTCAGGAAATTCAGACTGAAATTAAGGCAAAAGTAGATGCAGTTTCAGTGGAAAAGCAATTCGACGAGCGCTATAAAATTGAAGATTCATTTTATAATTGGATTGCTAAGGGTAAAGAGTTGAGAGTAAATTATGAAGAAAAGAACCGAAAAAATAATGATATCGATTCAGTTCATTCTTACTCTACTGTTGCCTCAAAATCAGGTCCACAACAAAACATTTTAAATGCAGTCAAGTTACCAACCATTACATTGCCTAAATTTCAGGGTAAATATGAAGGATGGCTTGAGTTCCGCGACACCTTCGAGTCCCTTATTCACAAAAACGATTCATTGTCAGAAATACAAAAATTTCACTATTTAAGGGCCTCGCTTGAGGGTAGTGCTGCGGTGGTAATAAAGTCTGTCGATTTCTCTAGTTCTAGTTACAGTGTTGCATGGGACACATTATGTGAACGGTTCAATAACAATAAATTGCTAGTACACAATCACGTAAAAGCTTTGTTTGGTTTAGAAGCAATCCAAAAAGAATCGTCTGATAAAATTCGCAAGTTAATCGATGATATGTCCAAAAATTTGAGAGCATTGGAACAGCTTAACCAAAGTACGACAAATTGGGATACTCTTATAATTTTCCTAATTGTTTCTAAATTAGATAACAAGACGATTAGTGAATGGGAAAATTATAACATGAGGTTAACCAAATTGCCGGTACTTCAAGATTTAAAAATTTTTCTTAAGGGTAGGGCAGACCTACTTGAAACTATCGAGTATAAAAATCAAGGAAAGTTTGAGTATAGTCGCGATTATAATAAAAAACCAGTCACCAATCAAAGTACTAGTAGATCTTTGGTTGCAAGTACCTATTCTTGCAATTATTGCAAAAAAGAGTATTCTATTTATTCATGTCCCGAATTCGCTAATTTAGGCATAGAACAAAGGTTAGACTTTGTCAGAAAGTCTAGTTTATGCGTAAATTGTCTAAGATGGGGTCATAATGCTCGTCAGTGCAAATTAGGGCCATGCAAGAAATGCAAAGCGTGGCACAATACTCTGCTACACGCAGACAAAGTAAAAACGCTCGATAAAAATCAAGAGACTAGTAAATCTGACACACAAAAGCATAGTATAAATTGTACTAGTGGTATGATAGGTACCGGGTCAGGTCACATATTTTTATCAACAGCGTTAGTAAAAATTACATCCAGAAGTGGTCAAGTCTATAATGCTAGAGTCTTGTTGGATTCAGCCTCTCAGAGTTGTTACATAACTACAAAACTTTGCAATTATTTAGGGGTTGATAAACAAAAGGTTGATGTATTGGTTTCAGGTATATCAAACAAGACTATTCCCATTACTGAAAGGTGCAATGTAGAAATACAATCTTTGTATAGTAATTTCAAAGCCAAATTGTCATGTCTAGTAATAAACGAGTTTACAAGTTCATTACCTAGTGTAGAGGTTGACATATCCTCTTTAAAAATTCCTCTTGATATTTTTCTAGCTGATCCCGAGTTTTATAAACCTAAAGAAGTAGATTTGCTGGTGGGTGCTGAACTATTTTGGACTCTGATAGGTTCGGGTCAGATCTCCTGCGGCAAGCATGGTCCTACTATACGGGAAACAAAGTTAGGCTGGGTCGTGTCAGGTGCTATGGGTATGTTAAACCATAAAAATAAAAATAAAAAACAATCTTTTTGCCATT